TGTACAATAACATATAAAACGGGTTTTCTAGTCGACTTGCTTCAATAAATCTTACTTGTGCGTTTCGGATTCTAGCGAATCATAGTGAGTGTAAGACTGGTATTTTCTGCGGTCAATTTCCAGTTGCGATGAGCCACTTTCGTATCCATTGAGTGGCTGTGGGGCGTAGTTTCCAGATGGGGAGAAGTCTGGAAAATGCTTCCGATCTTCACCAGAGCCTCCATATCCATAGGCATAGTTGTCCCATCCTAAATGGGCAAAGTTTGCAGGTTTGTGGTGCTCATAGGGACGATTGAGGGCGGATGGCCTAAAAGAGGGCATTTGCGGCTGAACGCCGTACGCATTTTCCGGTCTTCCGGAAATTAAAATATCGTGTACTGGATGCAGGACGTTGTTGGGCCCAGAGGCGATGCTCACTAGGGTCTGGACATGCTGTAAATTGTCCTCCTTTGGAGGATTTGGCTTGTAATGAGCTGCAGGTCTTTGGTACTGATATCCTGGAAATTGCACATCTGGAAAGTTGGGATCGGTCGCTTTGGGGGGATTTTACCCTCATTTGGGCTGTGATGGTTGGGCGGCTGTCCACTCCCATGATGTTCTTCCTCAACTAAATACTGCGCTTCATTTTGAGAGTGTTCTGCATGTTGATTTTCAGTCGGCCGGTGGGGAGCCTCCAGAACAATCTGGCAGTCGATTTTTTTTATGTACAGGTCGAAATCGGTGTCTTTGGTTGTGCCGATGGGCTTCAAATCCACTGTTTCCTTGATGGGGGTTCGGCTTAAAAGGCAGCTGGCGTTGCCCTTTGCGCCAATACTAGGAACAACTGAATTGTTAGCTTTTTTGCAGTGAAACTGGCCAGTTTTTCTTTTGGGTGGTATTTTTGCTGACGTAAAACGAGCCTGTATGTTTTTCTTGTTGTGCTGAGTTTTAATTTATTATTGTTCTCCAGGTTTTTTTCGCACAAACTTGCGTCATAAAATTGAATTAAAAAAAAATTAGTAACAGATCACATATCTGTATGGAATAATAGAAGGAAGTACTTTTCAGCCAGCCTTGGTCATCACGTTATAAAAGCTAATAAGCATAAGACAACAAAAGAACGCGACCAATTATTACTTGGTTTTGATTATCCTTAAATCGTAAGCGGAAATCGCGACCTTCGTGCCATGTTTTCTTGATTTTTGCTGGAAAATTGCCGATAATGAACAAATCGTGTCAGGGTTTTTTGGGTCGTTCTGACGCGCCTATTTGGATCAGTTCAATTTTGGAAACAATCAAAATCAGTAGCAAAATAGCAGGAGCAAGACTTTTGCAAGAGGCTGCATCAAAAGCGCATTGACTGATTTCAGTTTGAAGGGTATTTAGTGCAATTATTTTCGATCGATTAGTGGGTGGTTTTGCAAAAATTAGTGCGTCAGATAACGTTTTTACAGGGTGGCATATGAAGCATTGCAATGCTCCGGATCCGCGTGTTCTCACTGGGACAAAAAGCGAATTTTTATTTTAGCACCACAAGCATTTTTTTTTTGATTTTCAAAGTTTAGGGCTCATATTGAAGGTAAAATTTCACAGACGAAATGAAGGAAAACTCAATTTAGCAGTTTGCATGCAGGGGCGGATCCAGCTTTAAATTCAGGGGGGGTTATGTAGAAAAAATACTGTCTTCTGTTGTCTATGAAGCTAGAAAACTTATCGTCGTTTTGTGCAAGGGTGGCGTAAGATTATTGCAAAATTTTATGTTTTCCGTCCCGTTTTGCATGTTTCTCGGAAGCAAAATGAGCAAGAACGCTCGTTTTTACATCATTC